AGACTATCTCAATTATATTTGAAACATTTCTGTGTGTTTGAAATTGGTTCATGAATTATGTCTTTTTGGCAATATCATCTCAGGTGAACAACTTGATTTGTGTCGAGAGATTCTCAGATTTTGCACAACTTGGAAGGTTTACTCTTTGAACTAAAAGTAAGTGACTGCATTTTCATTATTCACGAATCACCCTGGGCATGCAGTGTGTAATTTGGATTACTGTGTCTACAGGAAAAATAGTTGCAGTGGGAAAAGTCATGGACATTCCTTCAAGTGCCGGTGCATAAAAAAGTTTTGTTGTTAAAGGTGAGAAATTAAATTTATATATTTTTTTGAAAAAAACAATCTCTAATGGGATGTTTAACGTATGGCTAATTCACTCTGACATCTACATCCACCGGACTCTCCTTATGAATGGGTGTTAAGTTGCAACACAGAATCATCTTAAATGAAGTTGCGGCGTTAATAATATATTGATGTCTTAAGGAGAGGTGAGATGCCGATGCAACAGGTGCTTGGCATTGGTACTTTTGATATACTTATGGGTATGTAATGTTTAACTTATACAACCATTGGCATTTTTGGAACACATGATTGTAATACATGGTTTTCACATCAGTTTGTTGGAAAATATTTAGTTTTGGTTTGGGCATTGTTTGCCATGAAAGCATTTAGTTTGTCATTTGGGTTTTGGTTCAATATTTATGTGTAAAAACTTATTTACTGCTCTTTCATCGTCTGTGGCATCCTGGTAATAAATTGAACTAGCAGATAGAATACAAAGTGATAGCCTTGCTACTATTTTGCATTATTCGGTAAGAGTACATTTAGCCATGTAATCTCAACTTGATGATTTGAAGTAGCAACATCGCACCTGACACGATAATTTGGCACAAACTCAATCTCTAAAAAACTGGTTAGGGTTAAATAGTTTTGGACTTGTGATCTGTTTACTATTCAAATATGGGTCAACATGTGGGTTTATATGTTACTCTGTTTGGTTTGATCTGTTTGTTTTTTAAATTTTAAAAAAATATTTTTATAAAATAATTTTTTAATATAAAATAACTAATAAATATAATTTAAAAGAAATTTAATATGATGGTGATTATTATAGTTTATAAAGCTTTTCAAATTATATTTATTTAAAATCTATAAATTAAATATTGTATACTATATATGATTATTAATAAAGAAAACAAAAAAATTATATAAATGACTTAAAATATATTCTACGCAAAAAAAGTTATTTTGCTTAAATTAATCAAATAGAGAGATAAAATTATTAGAAAATAATTATATCAAAGTTATTATAATTTAATTGTTATAAATTAATATTAAAAATATGATTAATTATATAAAAGAATTAAAAATTTTCAATCCATTAATTAACTCATGATCCATTAAAGTTAGTTTAGGTTAACATTTGTTGACCTACAACTCTTATATAACCCAACTCATAAAACACATAATTCGGATAAATCTAATTCAAACTCAGCTCAACCCACTCGTTGCTACCTCTAGTTCTACCTATGCAAAACACACTTCTTTCCTCCCCTCCTAATCGAAGCCCAAGCATGCCAAAATCCTTCTCTCTCAGTGAATGAGCAAGGGTTCTTTCTAATTCTTTCTCTATATCGATTCCATCATGTTTGGTACGAACATAACAAATGCATGGAAACAAAACTATACTAACATAAAAAGACACAAAATTAGTTATGAACTCGAATCATCATTCATCCATCTTTGAGAAAGGCAAAGAAAGGAAAGAAAAGGAAAAAAATTGGAATCATACTCAGACAAACACAGGGGGGACTTCAAACACAAAAGAGAGAAAAACATAATGGAACCATACCCATTCGAAAAACCATTTAAATTCGACGGCAACCAAGTATGGAATGGAACATTATGCACTCGATCTAGCTTAACAAAAGATTTAAAACAATTGTGGAGAAATTACTGAAGAACTCATCTTATTTTTTAAAATAAGGGGCAAATTGGGTGAGACAAATTGAGAAAAATTGGGTTTACTGTGTGTAAGGACAGGTTTGAGATGCCCAACCTCGAACGTACAACAGTAATTCTTTTATGACTGAAGTGAAGGATAAATCTAAGGACTCCCGCTCAAATAGCTGCATGACAGCAACAGTAAGCATGCCCGCACCTGATTCTTTATAATAAGCTGCACAGCAGCTATGATGGGCATCCTTGAATTTGAATATCTCTCAAATCCCCGTTCCCGATATAATTGTTTGGATACACGCTAGGCTCCGACTATCTTGCTTGGCATGCCACGTGGGTTCCTCACTGAATCCTATAAATACCCCCCAGGGGCCACGTCAAAAAGGTAATTGAAACCAACCCTAAGCTCCTTTTATCTTTGCTCTAGAGTTAGCTCCGATTATTACTGACTTAAGCATCGGAGTATCTACCTCGAGGACCCACCTCGGGGCTTTGTAGGTCAATCTGGAGTGCAGACGTGGACTAAAGAAGGACATCTGATTTGGTGCAATTACATTTGGCGCCATCTATGGGAATCGAACCCACGACCACATGGTCCCGAGTTCAGATCTATACTGCTTCACCTCCTCCACTATATCTGCATCTACATCATAGCACCTATCTTTCCTACCCTTCACTTCTACCACAGTGATGGGTACACTATCACCTCCACTCCTAACTACCTCCACTCCTAACTATCTCCCCTCCTCTCACTCCCTCACCTCCTTCCACCCCTTCCACCGTCCTCTCCGAACTAGATGGAGACGGACTACTCTC